ATTTTTATTTCTGACTATGGAATCTGAAAATCTAGCCAATACTGTACAACTTTTGTATTTACACCTTTCATCTACATGTAAAGGTGAAGGCTGTAGGAGGGGTGTTAATATATAAAAAAACACCCTGTACTTGAACAATAACTTATTTTATAAAGTCAGAATTTGTAAGATTATCCACATTTTGTCAATTTGCCTTTTAATAGGAATTAGAATGTTACTTTACCGAACTAGTAACATAATGTGACAAGTTATTCAAGTACAAATGAGTGAATTGTTGCGGAACTTATGGGTCGACATCTGCGGGACGAGCGCAGCGAGTTCCGCAGCCATCTACTCACCAATATACTGTTGAACTACTTAAGTAAGACATTCGCCTGAAACGTGTATTTTTTAAACCAATAACTCACATTTGAGTGAGTCAGGTCAGTATTGTAATTACACAACATATCAATGAATAGATGGCTGCGGAACTCGCTGCGCTCGTCCCGCAGAGGTCCACCCATAAGTTCCGCAACAATTCACTCGTTTGTATTTGAATAACTTGTCACATTATATTACTAATCTGGTAAAGTAATATTACTAATTCCTGTTGAAAGGCGAACACCACACAATTCCCAACATCTCCGACACACTAGACAAATTTGGCAGAAGTCAATATTTCACAACCCTCGATTTGGCTTCAAGGTTCCATCAGATCGAAATGGATCCAAATTCTATTTAAAAAACGGCCAAAATGGACATTTCGAATATATCAGAATGCCATTTGGTCTAAAAAATGCACCGACAGTCTTCCAAAGGGTCCATAAGGTTCCATAATGTCCTCAAAGATCTTCAAGGAAAAATATGTCTCCGATATTGGAATAGAATTTAAGAATGGACTTATACAATACAGGAATTTGTAGATACATATAATATATCTATCCATTATACTAATTCTTGTTAATAGGCAAATTGACAAAGAGTGAATAATCATAATCTTACAATTTTTGACTATAATAAGTTATTGTTCAAGTACAAATTAGTGTATTGTTGCGAAACTCATGGGTGGACCTCTGCGGGACGAGCGCAGCGAGTTCCGCAGCCATCTACTCACCAATATACTGTTGAACTGTTCAAGTAAGACATTCACCTGAAACGTGTACTTTTCAAACTAATAACTCACATTTGAGTGAGTCAGGTTAGTATCGTAATTACACAACATATTGATAAATAGATGGCTGCGGAATTCGCGTGAATTGTTGCGGAACTTATGGGTGGACTTCTGCAGGACGAGCGCAGCGAGTTCCGCAGCCATCTATTTATCAATATGTTGTTTAATTATGATACTAACCTGACTAACTCAAATGTGAGTTATTTTCATTAATTTAAAACATATACGTTTCAGGTGAGTGTCTTACTTGAACACTTGAACAGTTCAACAGTATATTGGTGAGTAGATGGCTGCGGAACTCGCTGCGCTCGTCCCGCAGTGGTCCACCCATAGGTTCCGCAACAATGTATTTATTTGTACTTGAACAATAACTTATTATATAAAGTCAAAATTTGTAAGATTATGATTATTCATTTTTTGTCAATTTGCCTTTCAACAGGAATTAGTAATATAACTTTACCAAACTAGTAATATAATGTGACAAGTTATTTAAGTACAAATGAGTGAATTGTTGCGGAACTTATGGGTGGACCTCTGCGGGACGAGCGCAGCGAGTTCCGCAGCCATCTATTCATCAATATGTTGTTTAATTACGATACTAACCTGACTCATTCAAATGTGAATTATTCTCATTGGTTTAAAAACTACATGTTTCAGGTTTTACTTGAACAGTTTAACAATATATTGGTGAGTAGATGGCTGCGGAACTCGCTGCGCTCGTCCCGCAGAGGTCTACCCATAAGTTCCGCAATAATCCACTTATTTGTACTTGACAATTACTTATTATATAAAGTCAAAATTTGTAAAATTATGAATATTCATTTTTTGTCAATTTGCCTTTCAACAGGAATTAGTAATGTTACTTGTCCAAACTAGTAACATAATGTGACAAGTTATTCAAGTACAAATGAGTGAATTGTTGCAGAACTTATGGGTGGACCTCTGCGGGACGAGCGCAGCGAGTTCCGCAGCCATTAATTCATCAATATGTTGTTTAATTACGATACTAACCTGACTCACTCAAATGTGAGTTATTCTCATTAGTTTAAAAACCCAATATTTTAGGTGAATGTCTTAGTTGAACAATTCAACAGTATATTGATGAGTATATGGCTGCGGAACTCGCTGCGCTTGTCCCGCAGAGGTCTATCCATAAGTTCCGCATGCTTCTAGCTTTTTCCAAATGGGATGCCTTATATTTCATTGTATATTCTTGAAGAGCATAATGCTCCAATTTCAAAAATATATAGTTGAAGGCGGAGTGTCAATATATAAAAAAACACCCTGTATATGGAATCATTTTTGTGCAATGATAGCTTTTAATCAGAATATCGAAATTTACCCAATTTCAAAAATTCAGCCAATTTGACAGAAAGCCATTTTCCATAAGGTTTGTGCGGGGTCCTTTCAACTCTGAACAGGGTGTACAAAAAAAATTGGTAAAATCTGTTTTTTTTTTAAGATAAAAGTCAAAATGACATTATGTTGGCAATACAATGTAAAATTGTCAATGGTTTCAAAGTTTTTATATAGAAAAGGCTTGTGTTGCCAACATATTTACTAAATTTTTGACTTGGGGAATTATCTCTAAATAAAAAACAGACTTTAAGCCTTGTTGCATTGAAAAAATCCTCAACTTACGCAGCCTTTAATTTTTTCTAGGACACCCTGTATAGCGGCAAAATTTTATCATTGTGTTTCAGAAAATTTATTTGGAATTTTTCCAAAAAAAAAATCTTGGTTTCTATCTACAGGGAGCTTTATAAAGCTGCGCGAAAATGGCTCTAATTCGAAAAAAAGAAAAAACAATAGAGCCTCTAATAAATCAATCAATTCTCTATAGAATTTTCAGTTTTCAAGTCTGTACAGGGTGCCTAAAAAAAAAATTTGAAACATCTACTAGTGTAATAAAAAAAATCCTCAACTTTAGAAGTTTTAACTTTTTCAGGACGCTCTGTATGGAGGTAAAATTTTATAATTTTATAGAGCAATTCATTGTTTTTCAGAGACTTTATTTGAATTTTTTCTAGAAAAATTCCAGCTTTAATCTACAAGGTGTTTTATAGAGCTGGTTCGTGAATTATTCACTAGTTGATAAAATTAATGAGTTGTTGAAATAATTATTGAGGATTCTGATTTAATGAGTTATTGAATGAAGTTCGTGAGTGATTTAATTATTGGTAAGTTGTTCACGAAAGATTTTGAACTGAAAATGAGTGAGTTGTTCAATTAATCTTCCTAACTTATGAAGCTTTTGAGCTCCCCAATAATATTAATAAAACTTCTATAAAATTGTTTTAAAGTTGCTTTATAACGCTTGTATTAATCCATCCAACTTGTGAGGCTTTTGAGCCAATTGTAGACGTTTATTTTGAAGGGTTATGAGATCTTTGAATATTCCACTGACAGAGCTGTCAGTACCTACTTCAAGTAAATTGTTTTTGAATATTTGTACTTGATTCTGCAAATATTTTAAATAAAGTATTTGTATTTGGTACTTGGATTTACAAAAAAAGTAATTCAAATACTGGGCATTTGTACTTTAAATACTTATAATATTTCAAATACCCCAGGAAGTAATTCAAATACTTAAACAAATGTGAAATTAACATGTCTTATAGCAGATATGATGATTTTTTTTTACGGAAATGGTTTCCACTCCCTGGAGAGTCTTTAAAATAATAATTAAAGGAAATTCGAACTGGAAATTCTTTAATATGCAGTATAGATATAAAATCCTTTAATAGGTTTTCTGTCTTAAAAGAAGTTTTCCATAAGTACAATACATGTTTTCCGTCATCAGCCCTTGAAGAAAGACTTTTTAGTTTTGTAGAAATAGTGAACAGACCCCGGAGACATAAAAATCCCACTGGACTTTATTTCTTTAATCAACCATTTCTAGATAAACTTTAAATTGTTAAATTTAAAGTAGGTAACTACAATCTGCAACAGGAATTTTGGAATCTGGAATCTCTATAGTACTATTTTAGAAGTATTATCTATATTATTTGAAGCTTTCAATGAAATAATTTTTAAAAAAATCACTGAATAATTTGAATTCTTTTTTAGTGGGTACTTGAAGTATTTCTTATTATTTCAAATATTTAATTAAGTACTTGAAATACTTACAGAGTATTTGAATTATTTTACATGAAAAAACCAAGTACTAACTTGAAACTTGAAGTACTTTTTAAGTTGAAAGTATTTAGCATTTGTACTTGCAACATGAATTTCTCGTAATTAATACTTGGTATTTGAAATACTATTTACTAGTATTTGTGACTCGGTGACAGCTCTGCCCACTGAATTGATTTTTGTAGGACCAATTGAATTGAATTACTCTAATACTTTATAATGAAGGCTTTACAGTATAAAATTCAAATTATAAAACAGCTTAGTTTGGATTATATAGTAAAACAAATTATAGCTAAAAATAGGTGCTGATGTAGTACCGATCGGATTTTTATGCCTAGGCTTAATTATCGGACCAATATCGTGATTAATTGATTGCGATTTATTTCTATTGGAGCGACCGCCGAATAATTTATCGCCGATTTAATAAATCGCCACACACATGGCGAATTAATATTTCTGATATATTAATTTAATAATTAAATGACGTAACTGAAATAGATCACCTCATGTTTTTTCTATATAAAATGCCGAATCAGCAAGTTACCGTTTCGTAAATGAATATAATGCTAACGCATTCAAATTTCGATTGGAATTAATACTTTTGTAATAATTTTTTTGGCGGCAATCGTGTATAATGGGACAATTTAAATTATTAAGGACAAAAATCTTTTTTTTTTTTTGTGCAGCAGGAAAAATTGGGGTTGAAAAAATTTACCTTGGGTCAGCTGTCGGTGGCTGCTGCACAGCAGGAACACCGCGATGAGCGTCCAGGTGAGCAGGGCCATGCTGCGGGGGGGCGGTCTAGCCGAGAAGGGCGGCGGGCGGCCGAAGGCCCATCGCAGGGCGGCGGCACGTACTTATTAGGGGCGGCACGATTCTAGACCCTCGGGTGGCTCGGGGTGAAGAAAGAGCGCTCGGAACTTTTTCTTTTTCGATTTTTTTTTTTTTTTTTTTTTCGGAAACCGGGAGAGCCTTTTCACGTCGATAGAAGTCGGAGCGACACTAAAACACTAAAAATTTTCGGACTGAACTGAACCGAACTGCCGGCCGGCGCGTCTGCCGACGCACCACCGTATCGTCGTCGGGACGCAGGAACGCGGCGCTGCGATGTGGAGTGGGAGCCCTTTTTTCTGTCACCCACTCCCCTTCCGAACTCCGGGTTGGAATATTATGTCCGGTATATTATGTTTGCATTCGATTATATACTGATATTATTTTGATCGTCAGGTACATTGCTAATATTATACACAGGGTGTCCAAAATTATTTTTTCGATTTCATATTTTCATTATTCTCGGCTCTTGGTTCGTTGGATACGGATTTTTTTTTTGGTAGGGACGTCGTCAGGTTTAACTCCGAGTAGCGCTTCCTGTTTACTGCACCCATTCCAAAATTCTTTGGTTCTCGTAATTTGCAAGTCAAGTAAGGTTCCCCAAACGGTGTACTTTGATACTACCTTTAATTTCCAATACTGTTCGCATAGGCGCCGAAACCATGGGGGCAATGGCTTGAGCCCCCGTAACGCATTTGCTATGGGGGCGAAGCCTAACATTCCTAGCTATTTATTTGTATATTAAAATTGTGTGTCGCTTTTGCTATACCGACTTTGACAAACAGTTCGATACTTTTTTTGTTTAGTATAATATAGTAAATTTTACTTAATACAAAAACCTCAGATTTAGATGACAGATACCCATTACCCAACATGACAGATCTCTTGAACAAACTGGGACGCTGCCAGTATTTCACCACCTAAATCTGAGGTGGTGAAATACTAGCGGCTTCTACCAGTTCCGCATTCAGCACAGAAAACGGGCATTATGAATTCTTGCGCATGCCCTTTGGTTTAAAGAACGCGCCGGCTACATTTCAAAGAGTTATGGATGATATTCTATATCCCAATATATTAAGCAACAACAAGACCAATAGAATTATAAACTGGGCCCCGTGATTAAAATAACTCCGGTCTTTCGGGCTCGCGTATAACTCCGACCCTTCGAACTTGCGTATAACTCCGGCCCTTCGGGCTCGAGTTTTTTTTATTTTTGCAAATTTACAAACTTGCCCCTTCCTTTCCCCAAAACAAAATCCTGACTATGACAATGGTGCTGTCGAAGCCGAGTATAGCCGAGCTGCCGAAAATGCACGAATTTCAATAATATGTAGAAACCTGCAGAGATGATCAACGATCCAGCGTGAAATGGGTATCTGTCAACTAGTCCCATTCATTTAAGTCTATGTGTCTAGTAGCCTAGTCCTGCCTGTATAATTAATTCTACTTATGTTAATTTTTGGATCCCAAGCCCCCATAGTAATTTTAAAATTCCGGCGCCTATGACTGTTCGTGCCCAAGACTAGGCTGGAAATGTAGGAAAAACTTACTTTTGAAAATATGGTATTATGTAGTTTACGTTTTAATGCAACAAGGGTATATCAGAGATGTTTAGGGGAAGAATACAACTTTGGTATGGCCCAAGGCACTGTTCATAAGTATATGCATCTCATCACGAATATTTAAAATGAACATCTACTGCCTCAAAAAAAAATGAAGAGGAAAGAGGTCATTCAAAACTGAATTTTTATTGAAATGGAAATTTCCGGGTAGTATTAGGACTCTGCCATTGCCGGTCCCAAGCCCGGATAAGAAAAGAGAAGGGGTTAGGCGTTAAGCTAACAACCTACCCCGTAAAAGTTCCTTTGTTATGAAACTGAAACTTTTGCCTCGTAAACGGACAAATATAAGAAGACGATTCGAGCTACGAAATAAGGACATGAATATTGGAACATGGGATGTACCAAGCTGGTATAGACCAGTTACGGCAACAATGACGGTCCATGGATATAACCGCACTCCAAGAAATCAGATGGACTGGATCAGGTAACGTCAAGAAGTGCCACAATGCTAAAGCGTAACGATGGCTCAGTAACTGCCTCCAAAACAGAAGTACTGGACACTTAAAAAGGCTAATTTGATTAAATACTGAACAAACCGTCGCAGGAAGAATCCGAATGTAGTGTATTCCTTACATCAGAGGCTACTATCCCACCTGTATCCATGGAGGAGCAACTAGAGCCATTAGAAAACTTAAGAATAACAAAGCGGCAGGCCGGGATAATATCTTGGCAGAGAGTCTAAAACATGGAAGAGACGATCTTACCATACAAATACACAGCCTCGTGCAACAAATTTAGAATCAAGAAATCATTCCCGACGAATGGAAAGAAGGTGTTATTATCCCACTCCACGAGAAAAGAGGACCAAATGCAGTGTAAAAACTATCGAGGCATCACGTCTACAAAATATTTCCTAACATTCTTCTTCAACGTCTTTCTCCATATACTGAAGAGATTACCGGGAGACTACTAATCAGTGTTGTGAAGGTAAAGTTGTGGGAAGCTATGGAAGAACTTAGAATCCCGCACACGCTGATTTGACTGTGTAGAACGTGCCTGGAGGAGGCAAAAGGCCTCGTCAAAAGCGATGGGTATACACCCAAGCATTCTACGTTAACAGAGGTCTAAAACAGGGAAATGCGTTGTCGTCAGTACTTTTTAACCTTGCACTAGAAAAGGCGGTAAGAACAGCATTAGTAAATGCATGAGGTTTTTGGTTCAGGTGGTCCCAAACTTATTTTGGAGAAAGCACAATTATTATAAAGGAAAACTTCATAAAGATCGTAATAGAAGCTCAGAGAATAGGTCTACGGATAAATGAAAGAAAGACCAAATACATGTAGGTCTCACGGAACCCCGCGCGAGCCAGAGTCAGCAGAACATCACCATGGATGACTATAATTTTGAGCATATGCGAACTTTCAAGTACCTGGGCGCAGTGATAACAAACTAAGATGGGCAGGCCACGTTCAAAAAAGCTAAAACGAGTATGGGAGGAAGCGCCACAAGGGAAAAGACCACTGGGAAGACCTAGACTTAGATGAAGAGATAACATTAAGGATCTAGCCACCTTTGGAGTAGATCACCAGGAATGGAGGGAAATGACCCAGGGCCGTTCCGGATGGAGGCAGATAGTCAAGGCAGCCAAGTAAGTAAGTATTTGGGCTGTCGGTTGCTCCCATATCACTATTTTGAAGAACATAACTTCATTAACCAACAAGGTTATCATTCCATAAATTCTCAAGTAATTTGTGACCCAGAACTCAAAATAAGGAATGTGCTTGCAAATTTTGAAGGCAGTATCCATGATAGCTTTATATGGCGAAATTTATAACGACATGAGTCAAGTGGCGACTTATTAACAAAGCCTGCTAAAGGATCAATAAACACCAAACCTTAAGCACAGGAAAGTCATAAATGAGCAAACAGAACAAATGTTGATGAAATAATTGCACCATCAAGTAGTCCATGGAATCGCCCACTAATAGTTGGCGCCCAACGTAGGGCCGCTTTCCTGAGGGTGCAAATTCCGCCGAAAGGTTTTTATTATTGTGGAATTGGATGCTAACGAATTACCCTAGGAATAGCACGCAGGTTATTGGTTTGTTGAGTTGTTTGTGATTTCTACCGGATACTGGTTCTTGGATCCAGGTTGGTTTTTTTTTCTGGGCTCAGCTCCTACCTATAGTGTTTTCCCAATTTAGATATTTCCCTGTATACAGACTGACTTATCGAATTTGTGTAGCTATATATACTACTAGTAGGTGGTAGTTAATATATGGATTTGCCTGGACAGGCATAGCTAATGGTAATGTGGAGAGCATGTTTGACCTTGGCCAAACAGATGGAACGAACTGGTGGAAGCCTGCACTATCCACCTTACCCCTACTCTTTTCAACAGGATGTTGCGGCAGTAACAAAGTCATTGGATGACTTGGTAATTTAGATTGATGCCTTCTTGGACTCAAGTAAGAGTGGTGCCTTTTTAAAGATTAAGTATACTGCACCAAAAAAGTCTAATTCCTCTGAGGACAAAACAAAATATCGAATTTGCGTAGACTTGAGAAAAATTAACAATATAACTATAGGAGCAGATGCATTTCCATTGCCTAAAACTACAGATATTTTGGATCAATTAGGAAATTCTCACTATTTCTCTACGTTGGACTTAGCAAATGAATTTCACCAAGTTCAGATAGACGAAGAAGATAAAGTAAAAACTGTATTCAGCACGTCAACGAAACATTATGTTTATAATCGTATACCATTTGGATTAAAAAGAGCCCCTGCAACTTTTCAATGGATTGAAATGTTTTATTTACTTGGACGATGTTGTTATTTACGCGAATAATCTGAAAGAACATAATCAGAGATTAACTGATATATTTCAAAGACTGAGAATATAATTTAAAAATTCAATCAGCAAAATGTTCGTTTTTACATAGAGAATCTCTATACTTAGGGCATATGTTCACAGAAAATGGAATAGAACCAGATATCCTGCAAAAATTGAGTGTGTATAAAAATTTCCTAAACCAAAAAATCCGAAGGCAGGATATTGCAAAAAATTGAGAATTGAATTTTTCCCAATTTTGACTTCAGAAATCGATAGAGCGAGTTCAAATTAGTCAGAAACAACTCTTAGATCAGTTAGATTTGAGAATTTTAATGAGAGAAAGGAATTCTCAACTATTGTCTCTGGAAATGTTTTTAAATCTTGACACGCTCATGAATAATTGCCCATATCTTCAACATAATTGGAGCAAATTAACTACAATTATATATCATTGGAAAAAGCATTAAATTCTCTTCAAAACTGTACCATATTGTTTCCAGTACCTCAACGGGTTTATGAGCAATCGAACTCCAAAGTTGAACTTTAGTCAAAATTTTGTGCAAAACTTCAAAGCCGATTTTCTCAAAAACTATAAATGGTAGCGGTTTCAGCGAAATACCATCTGAAAGCCCTCATCAAGAGCTACAAACCCTGAAAATTTTGTCTCGGTACCACTCTTGGTTCCCAAGATATCAAGCTTTGAAGATTTGAAAATAAAAATCCAAAGGGGTTACCCTTAGAAAAAAGTTCAAAAAATTGAAAATTTTTATTTTTGAATTTTTCCCAATTTTGACTTTAGAATTCAATAGAGCGAGTTCAAATTAGTCAGAAAGAACTCTTAGATCAGTTAGATTCGAGAATTATAATGAGAGAAATAATCCTAAAGGAAATCTCAATTTTTGTCTCTAGAAATTTTTTGAAATCTCGACACGTTCATGAATAATTGCCCATATCTTCAATAGAATTTGAGCAAATTCACTACAACTATGTATCATTGGAAAGAGCATTAAATTCTCTTCAAAACTGTACCATATTGGTTCCAGTACCTCAACGGGTTCATGAGGTTGAGCATAACTCCAGGATGAACATTACAACTGGACACGTTTACCCTGGAGTCAAAGCCAATTCGGAAGAAGAGAAACAGACCCTAAGAAGTCGTCATTTCCTACATTTGACTTATGATTTCTTTTATAAAAATTCATTAGTACTGCCGAATCACTCCATAGTTTGCCAGACATGCCAACTCAAGATCCTGCAATCTCTGAATTGTACTGGATCTTTGGTTGTGCTATCTTCTAATGAGGTGAGTTCAGCTTTAACATAGGGCCGGTTTCTCAATAGCGTGTCACCTCCGGGTTAGTTTTAACTCCAGGCTAAGCGTGTAGTGCCTAAAAATAATCAAAGGCAGATATCCACTGCCTCATATTGATGACCCAGAATAGATAAATTAAGTGGGTGTTCAGTATTCACCGGTTTAAACTTTACCTCAGGATACCACCAGGTTCCAAAAGCCGAACACAGTAAACACTTTACATCTTTTGTAACACCTGGAGAACAATACGAATGCCATTTGGACTCAGTAACGCACCAGCAGTCTTCCAGCGCATGAGGAATCAAATATTAGGGCCATATCGCCAAATAGCTGCAGTTTATCTTAACGACGTCAATTCTGATCAACCATAAATTATTTAGGATTTGAAATAGACCAACCTCCTGGGGCTCCAAAAATAGAGGCTGTTCAAAATTTCCCTGTACCAAAGGCTATTGAACAAGTTTGTCAGTTTCTAGGCTTACCTAACTGAATATTTTAGGAAATTCGTCAAACATTGTAAAACCATTAACTACATTAAGAAAAAAAAATATCCCTTGGAATGGGGATATCCTAAAACAAAGGCATTTGAAGATTAATAGAACGCCTTATACTTGCTATATATGACCCAACTTTAGGTTGTAGAGTCACTTCCAAAATTCCGGATTTATTTACTGAAGTACGACATTGAAGACATCGGAAATCTCCAGGTTCTCCACAACCAAGTTTTTATGCTAATATCATACAGGATGTCCAAAATATTGATTCCTCGATTTCATATTTCGATTATTCTCGGCTCTCGGTTCGCTGAATACGGACACTTTCGTTATAGCCAATGACAGTTCAACCTTTGAGCCTTTTTTTGTGGTCATTCGGTAACTGCAACAAGGCGATATGGTAATTTGTACACCCTGTATTTGACTGTGAAACGAGCAATTTTATATTTTATAAATAATCTGCCTTCAAGATCTTTTGCACCTCAATTTGTCATTTCATTTTAAGAAACTCCAGTCTTGTACCATAACTCTTTTGTTCACTAGGTACTTACATTTCCAATATTATACAGGATGTCCAAAACAACATATTGTTCCCTGATTTCAGAGGCTGAGTTTTCAGCAACTCTATGAGGAAAAATGTATACCTAAATATTCCCGGACCAAACAAAAAAGTCACTTTCCTTGAATTCTTCTCGAATTGTCTGTAACTTCCTTGGTTCATTGATTTCCTATTTATATCAGACCTAATAACACTCTTACTCTTTTTGCCAACCATAACTCCTTTCCAAAAGAGTGGAACATGTAAGTTTGCCTCATACTAAAACTCAAATTAAAACAAACAACGAGTGTCGATTCTCATTACCATAAACACAAAAACAATCTACGCTACTGAAAAAGGAAGTTGGGGGGTGGCACGAGCAAAATCAACCACCGAGACGTCGAGCTTGACCATCTGACGTGCAGTAAGAATTCTGCACCACCTGTCCAAAATGGGGTAAGAGACCCTTAATTCTTCGAAGCCTGCTACGCCCCAATAATTGATCCATATACACACACACACACACGTGCCGATATCCGATGTCGCACGTGTGCCAGTTGCCGTTTTTCTTCAGAGTGTCAGATTACATATATAGTTTTAAGAATCAAATGAAGTGTTAAATTGTACCATAAGATCAAAATAAAATTTACCGGAAATAGGGCAGAAAATTAGCTCTCTATTATTGGTGCATTTCGAGGCAGGTGCAAAGGGGGCATTATAAATTCACACGACATTAAACTATTTCCATTAATTTCCCCCATATCCATTGTGCGCATTGTCTCTATTCAAGCCCCAGAGATGAGATATCGCCCTATATTATTGCATTCCACCAGCAGTAAATTTGATTTATTAACAAAAAACTTACAATACTAAACCTTAAATATACACCAAATTAATAAATCGTCGATTCTTTGGCTGTAGGTGAAGCTGGTGCGGTATGAGGTACCGGCGAAGCTGTACTGGTTAAATTGCTAGTGACGTCATCGTCGTCGTCGTACTCGTTAGCTTCGGTCAGTTTTTTGGCAGCCGCTTCTTGAGCTCTCCTAAATTTTCGTTTATATTTATGACGTCACACATATAACCTCACCTTACCTTTTTTGTGCTTCGTAGGCGCTATCCAGCATCTCTTCTTCTTCCTTTTCCTGTTGCTTCTTTCTCAGGTACATGTAGGCCAAATAGAAGAATAATAGAAGTAGAGGAATTATTATTAAGAATACCACACCGGAGGCCATGGCTAGTTGCCTTTGAGAGTACTCTTGTTGACCTAAATTGCAAAATTATTCAAATAAAACACCAGGTACTATTCCGCCAAACTAGGAATATACCTTGTAGTACTCAATACCCCAATTTTTAATATTCCTAGCATGTGGAATTTTGTCACCCTGTATATTGTTTTTTTAAAAACGTTTATTGAACTTATACAAATCACCTAAACAACTACTTATATTCTTTAGTACAAAAGTATAGGTAAATTTATCACCTTTCCCTATAAAATAGCATTAAAAAGTGATAAATTTTACCTGTACCTTTGCACTACAGATTGTGAATAGACAGTACTTACATTCCACATGCTAGAATAATAATTTCTTTAAAACATTTAGACATCAGTAACAGTACTACTTTGACTACTAATTCTAGCTGGTTGCATTTTTTTTCTAATTGGTACCGCGTAATCGTCGGAACCGTAATTCAATGGTTGACTGTAACTGGGCGTGGGACTTTTTGGTTCAAACTCTGGCTCAATTTCCTTGTCCTCGAACTCAATTTCTGGCAGCCCGGATAGAGGCTCGTGCGTGCGATAACTCTTATCATAGCTGCGTCGCTTTCTGAACATACTGTCGGTACTACCAGTGCTACTCAAAATAGGGCTCAAAGCTCTTGGTTTCTGGTACTGCCAAGACGATTCCTCGGTATTGATGTAGTTTAACAACAAACGATAAGCTATATAAGCTATTATTATTAATAGGGGTATGAGTACTACAAAGACTATTCCCGAAGCGGTGGCTAGTTGACGTTGCGAGTACTCTTGTTGACCTAAATTGACTCAATAAAATTCATACAACTAAAAATCTAAGAGACTTACGTAAACAATAAGTGTATCCATATTCTGGAACATCCCATTGTCCGTTTGCCTGGCAAGTTCTTCTAGCATCTCCTACTAGGACGAAATCTTGATCGCACTCAAACGTCACTTTGGTACCTGGTATAAACAGGAAGGTACTCTTGCGGCCAAATCTTGGTGTTGGCAAGACACCACACGAAATAACCTAGAACATTGATTATTATTATGTAGTTGAAATAATTCAAAAATTACCGTTACCTTTGTCCTACTAAGTTCCTTATACTGATATATTGTAGCTTTATAATTCTGAGTGTAATGGGCCAAATCTCTGTTCAGTGTCATGGCGTAGTCGTAGTAGCACTCGTACATTTTGGAAGTACAAATTTGGTAAGTCCGGTCGATTTGTGACGACCGGTTGGCCGGTATAATTTCCTCGGGTGTCATCGCGAAAATTGGAACGAAGGATTTGTTGTTGAAGTTGGCCGATGATTGGCCGTTTTCCCTAAGGAACATTGCGCGACCTAAAATCAACAATAAATGAAAATCCTTTGAAAAATCCTGAAAAATACTTCAGAGTATCAAATTGAACAATTATAGGCTCTTGATTCTAGAGAAATTATATTTCACGAATCACTCTTTGGAAGAAAATTGCTAGGGCATTCTTTAATCCAAAGGGCATTCTGTTACATTTGGACAATCACTGAATCTTGATTCTTTCTAGCCAATCAAGCGCCGGCAATCAGAATTTAATTAACCAGGATGTTTTCATCAAACAAAGCAAATTTGAAGTCAATCTGAAACTCAGAAATAAAAGCATGAGGTTTTTTCCCACTGAATACTGAAATAAGTTGGAAAATTCACATTAAATCACTTTTGAAAAATCCTGAAAAATACTTCAGAGTATCAGATCGACTTCAAACTTTCAGGATTTATTAACCAGTATGTTTTCATCAAACAATACAAATTTGAAGTTGATCTGAAGCCTAGGAATTGAATTATGAGGTCTTTTCCAACCTAATACGAGAAAAACTTCAAAAATACACGTTAAATCATCTTTGAAAAATCCTGAAAAATACTTCCGAGTATCAGATCGACTTCAAATTTTCAGGATTTATTGACCAGCATGTTTTCAACAAACAATTCAAATTTGAAGTTGATCTGAAGCCTAGGAATTGAATTATGAGGTCTTTTCCAACCTAAGACGAGAAAAACTTCAAAAATACACGTTAAATCATCTTTGAAAAATCCTGAAAAATACTTCCGAGTGTTAGATCGACTTTAAACTTTCAGGATTTATCAACCAGCATATTTTCAACAAACAATGCAAATTTGAAGTTGATCTGAAGCCTAGGAATTAAATTATGAGGTCTTTTCCAATCTAATACCAGAAAAACTTCGAAAATACACGTTAAAGCATCTTTGAAAAATCCTGAAAAATACTTCCGAGTATCAGATCGACTTCAAACTTTCAGGATTTATTGACCAGCATATTTTCAACAGACAATGCAAATTTGAAGTTGATCTGAAGCCTAGGAATTAAATTATGAGGTCTTTTCCAACCTAATACCAGAAAAACTTCGAAAATACACGTTAAATCATCTTTGAAAAATCCTGAAAAATACTTCCGAGTGTTAGATCGACTTTAAACTTTCAGGATTTATCAACCAGCATATTTTCAACAAACAATGCAAATTTGAAGTTGATCTAAAGCCTAGGAATTAAATTATGAGGTCTTTTCCAACCTAATACCAGAAAAACTTCGAAAATACACGTTAAATCATCTTTGAAAAATCCTGAAAAATACTTCCGAGTGTTAGATCGACTTTAAACTTTCAGGATTTATCAACCAGCATATTTTCAACAAACAATGCAAATATGAAGTTGATCTGAAGCCTAGGAATTGAGTTATGAGGTCTTTTCCAACCTAATACCAGAAAAACTTCAAAAATACACGTTAAATCATCTTTGAAAAATCCTGAAAAATACTTCCTAGTATCAGATCGACTTCAAACTTTCAGGATTTATTACCCAGCATATTTTCAACAAACAATGCAAATTTTAAGTTGATCTGAAGCCTAAAAATTGAATTATGAGGTCTTTTCCAACCTAATACGAGAAAAACTTTAAAAACACACGTTAAATCATCTTTGAAAAATCCTGAAAAATACTTCCGAGTATCAGATCGACTTCAAACTTTCAGGATTTATTGCCCAGCATGTTTTCATCAAACAAAGCAAATTTGAAGTAAATCTGAAGCTCAGAAATAAAATTATGAGGTTTTTTTCCAACCTGATACCAGAAAAAGTTGGAAAATTCAGGTTAAATCAGCTTTGAAAAATCCTGAAAAATACTTTGGAGTATCAGATCGATTTCAAACTTTCAGGATGTATTAACCAGTATGTTTTCATCAAACGAGGCAAATTTGAAGTAAATCTGAAGCCTAGAAATAAAATTATGCGGTTTTTTCCAACCTGATACCAGAAGAAGTTGGAAAATTCAGGTTAAATCAGCTTTAAAAAATCCTGAAAAATACTTCAGAGTATCAGATCGATTTCAAACTTACAGGATTTATCAACCAGCATATTTTCAACAAACAATGCAAATTTGAAGTTGATCTGAAGCCTAGGAATTAAATTATGAGGTCTTTTCCAACCTAATACCAGAAAAACTTTAAAAACACACGTTAAATCATCTTTGAAAAATCCTGAAAAATACTTCCGAGTATCAGATCGACTTCAAACTTACAGGATTTATTACCCAGCATATTTTCAACAAACAATGCAAATTTTAAGTTGATCTGAAGCCTAAAAATTGAATTATGAGGTCTTTTCCAACCTAATACGAGAAAAACTTCAAAAATACACGTTAAATCATCTTTGAAAAATCCTGAAAAATACTTCCGAGTGTTAGATCGACTTTAAACTTTCAGGATTTATCAACCAGCATATTTTCAACAAACAATGCAAATTTGAAGTTGATCTGAAGCCTAGGAATTGAGTTATGAGGTCTTTTCCAACCTAATACCAGAAAAACTTCAAAAATACACGTTAAATCATCTTTGAAAAATCCTGAAAAATACTTCCTAGTATCAGATCGACTTCAAACTTTCAGGATTTATTACCCAGCATATTTTCAACAAACAATGCAAATTTTAAGTTGATCTGAAGCCTAAAAATTGAATTATGAGGTCTTTTCCAACCTAATACAAGAAAAACTTTAAATACACACGTTAAATCATCTTTGAAAAATCCTGAAAAATACTTCCGAGTATCAGATCGACTTCAAACTTTCAGGATTTATTGCCCAGCATGTTTTCATCAAACAAAGCAAATTTGAAGTAAATCTGAAGCTCAGAAATAAAATTATGAGGTTTTTTTCCAACCTGATACCAGAAAAAGTTGGAAAATTCAGGTTAAATCAGCTTTGAAAAATCCTGAAAAATACTTCAGAGTATCAGATCGATTTCAAACTTTCAGGATTTATTAACCAGTATGTTTTCATCAAACAAGGCAAATTTGAAGTAAATCTGAAGCTCAGAAATAAAATTATGAGGTTTTTTCCAACCTGATACCAGAAAAAGTTGGAAAATTCAGGTTAAATCAGCTTTGAAAAATCCTGAAAAATACTTCGGAGTATCAGATCGATTTCAAACTTTCAGGATTTATTAAACAGTATGTTTTCATCAAAGAAGGCAAATTTGAAGTAAATCTGAAGCTCATAAATAAAATATATGAAGTTTTTTCCAACCAGAGAAAGTTAGAAAATTCACGTTATCACTGTATTTTGATCTCTGTAGAATATTATCTAGCCAATCAAACGCCGGTAAAAAAGAAAATTTGAATAATTATAGGCTCTCAATTCTAGGGAAATTAGATTTAATGAATCATTCTTTGGAAGAAGATTGCTGGGGCATTCTTTAATCCAAAGGGCATTCATCGATTTTATACTTCCAGAATTCATTGACATTCATCATGTATAATCAACTTACCTTTATTCGAATCCAGAACATCATCAACCATCCACAAAGACCCAAACGTCGTATAAACCCTTTCCATGTCATTAACATTTGTAGCAACACTGACTTTACTTCCATCAGGCAAAGTAAAGTCATCTTCCTTATTAAAACTCCAATTGCCCAACAACCCAGCTGTCTTATTAATAAAAGTCCAAGGCAAATAAACCCTTGCAGTCATGTATCCTTGATTGTCCAAAACTTCCACTCCAACTCCATTATCGAACATCATAATCACCTCAGACTGATTAAGAATATAAGTAGGAGTATAAACAGTTACTCCAGGGAAATGTTGGAACTTCAAGGAAGGCCTATCAAAGTAGACTCTTTTACCATCGGCAATAACATCCAGCCTGTAACGCCATCGGGCATATTCGGGCCTTCTCCTAACTTCAACAATAGTAGACGAATTGCCTCGTGCAACAACCGAACTCAATTGAGTCGCCCTTACTTCCCCATACAAATTAGGATCCATTTGCTCAAACCTGCCTTGCACTTCAATATTATTCAGCTTGGCCTTTGATTTAACCAAAACAAACTCCCCTTTACCGTTGAATGTGTATTCTAAATCATCAAATGTAACTATGTGTGGGTCTCCATAAACTCCTGCAACCCCTGGAGCTTGATAAGCTACACAATCCTGACTGGGCCTGCGTTCAAAACGTACAGTTTCACATCCAACTGCTTGTTCATCTTGCCACAAACAGCACAAATATTTTGGTACCATATCGTTGAACCATTGAGACAAAGTGGGTACTTTTGTTGCTTCCTGGTACGGCATTAGGCCTAAATTGTGGCAACGTTTCGGGCTGGAGCCCCATTGTTGGTCATAAGACAACATTAGGTAGTGGTTTTTGTCGTAGCAACACTGTTGCTCGGAACCTTCTAGTGTAGGAGAACCAGTTCTCACACAATGTACTGCTTGGTTGTTGTAGTAGCAAGTGGGGTTTGAGTCTTTGTCGCAATCAAAATCGGGCATGTATTTGCCTTTGTCGATGAGGGCTTGTTCCAGGGTGCAAGGACATTGCGGTAGCTCGTGGGCAAAGTTTTTTAGGTATCTGTCGGTCCTTAGCCAATCGTCGCATAAGGTTTTGGGCCAGTTGGTACCGTACATGCGTTCCCATTGCCAGCCGAAGTACCAGCCTAAAGGTATAGGCCTGCTCCATACTACAGGGTTAATGGTTGTAGCTTGGGTAGTTGTTTGAGTGGTACCGCTATAATCGTACTGAATAGGTATTGATTCGGTTAAATTGATTTGAATGAAGCCAAATTTTATGTCGGTTAAAAAGGTGTTTTCTCTGTTGCGGTACTGTGAAGGTACTATCGTGTACTCTCCAGTGTTTTGGACGTTTTCAGCTATATCTGTAATGTATAATAGTGAGGGTCTTATGGAGGTTTCGCGGTAGCCCCAAAGCGAAATTCTAATGTTTGCGTTTTCGTTTGTAGTCAAATTATATTTTTCCCAAGTTATTTTTATTTCACTAGGGGATTTTTCGTGTACTTTCATGTCTTTGAAGTAGATTTTCTGAGCCGCACTTGCAGGAGTTTCCACATAGTACCGGCCTTTCCACTTGTAAGTACCTGGTCCAATGGCGATTTCAAATCTTACGTATCCTTCTACCATTAGTAAAGGTTGGACGCAAATTGCCCTGTTTCTGCTCACTACGGTACCGTAAACTACATTGGCTACGTCAAATTTGCATAAGATTTGATCGGTTGGGTTGAAACATGGGCCAGTAATGTTGACAACGGTACCACCCAACATGTTGCCAGATTCTGGAGCAAACATTAGGGGTAAATTTGCGCCATCGATGTCTTTATTGCACGTGCCAACCAGGATGTTTTCGTCGATTCTGAATAAGTGTCTGCCTGGGAATCCGTTAGCGTAGCCTCTGCCGCTCAAATCTCTTAGGACTGATGCTTGACTGTAGGGAGAGTATTCCCAGGATCTGGTACCATTACCTGGAAATGTTTGATTTGTGAGGGAATTGGGAATCAACAGAAACATTAAAGTTTTATTCTATAAGGTAAAAGATGTTGCCAGGTTCTGTTCCAAAAGCGATTGTTCTTCCAGTAGACTTAAGATTAGAAGATGAAAAGTTCAGAAAGCAGTAAAAACTAGTGAAGTGAAAATTTTGAAACTTTTTGTATGTAGAGAGGAAGGTTAGAAGCTCATTTTCCCAGAATTTCAAAATTTTCCAATGGAAAATAACAACATGAGGAATCTTGGAAATCAACCTACAAAAACTGTATTAGTTGAAAATACAGTCTCACACATTTCAAAGTTTTCCTGGAAAACTAGTGAAGGGGAAATTTTGAAACTTTTTGCATGTAAAGAGGAAGGTGAGAAGCTCATTTTCCCAGGATTTCAAATTTTCCCAGTGGAAAATAACAACATGAGGAATATTGGAATTCAACCTGCAATAATTGAATTAATTGAAAATACAGTCTCACATATTTTGGAATTTTCCTGGAAAACTAGTGAAGGGGAAATTTTGAAACTTTTTGTATGTAAAAAGGAAGGTGAAAAGCTCATTTTCCTAGAATTTCAAATTTTTCCATTAGAAAATTCCAACATAAGGAATCTTGGAAATCAACCTACAATAACTAAATTAATTGAAAATACAGTCTCACACATTTCAAAGTTTTCCTGGAAAACTAGTGAAGGGAAAATTTTGAAACTTTTTCCAGTAAATAGGAAGGTGAGAAGCTCATTTTCCCAAAATTTCAAAATTTTCCAGTGGAAAACAGCAACATAAAAAATCTTGGAAATCAACGTACAAAAACTGAACTAGTTGAAAATACAGTCTCACACATTTCAAAGTTTTCCTGGAAAACTAGTGAAGGGAAAATTTTGAAACTTTTTCCATGTGAATAGGAAGGTGAGAAGCTCATTTTCCCAAAATTTCAAAATTTTCCAGTGGAAAACAGCAACATAAAAAATCTTGGAAATCAACGTACAAAAACTGAATTAGTTGAAAATACAGTCTCACACATTTCAAAGTTTTCCTGGAAATCTAATGAAGGGAAAATTTTGAAACTTTTTGCATGTAAATAGGAAGGTGAGAAGCTCATTTTCCCAAAATTTCAAATTTTTCCAGTGAAAAGCAGCAACATGAAAAATCTTAGAAATCAACCTACACAAACAGTGATGTCATGACCCTACAATTTTCTTTAAATTCCTCACAAATTCTTTCAAATTCTCCATAAATTCCTCCAAATTCTGTATAAATTTTCCAAAATTCTTATAAATTCCGATGAGTTCCTTCAAATTTCCCACAAATTCTTCTAAATTTCTCACAAATTCCTCTAAATTTTCCACATTTTTGGCAAAGAATTCCTAGGTGGTTTGCCCCTTGGTTATAAGCCTCAGACAAAGGCCTTGAGATAGATGTAGATGAACAGCTACCCTCTGCATTTCCACCTTCTTCAAAACATTAGACTGGACAATTTACTCAGCAACATCAACATGAAGACAACATTTGAAAAAATCCATAACTAAAGAGAGACAGAATGATTGTAGGATGATATAAATCACGGGAAAGTAAAATCCATTCATTTTATTTTCTGATCAATGAACTTAGAAGCAACATGGAGATGAACTATTAAGCTCATCAAATAACTGAGACCGTTGAGCTGACGTGGAGTGAACAACGAATGAAATGTTTCATGTTATAAATCAAGAGCCGGGAATAAGATCACAAATAACTGAGACATTTGAGCTGACGTGGAGTGAAAAATGAATGAAATGTTTTATATTACAAATCAAGAGCCACAATTACCTGCATTAAACCCAATATAAGCTGGCACACCTCCTTCGCCTCTAGTGGTATCCCCTCCAGCTTCAGTATGACTCGTCCAATCCAAATTCAAATAGTTAAAAATTGCATAGGTGTAGACTTCATCTGTTGCAAGGACCATTTGAAAAGTGTTGGTCTAAATAATCAAACATTAACCATTGTAGTAGATACCATAACCAAAATACTTACTTTGTAAATAGCATTTCCAAAGCCTCCATTAAAGGAAACATTTTTCCAGGTAACAATGACAGCGTGTTTAGGATCGAAGGCTTCCGAGCCAATAACCCCTTCTCGAATGTCCCACTTTAATCTTTCACGAATTTCCACTCCCATTTGATCGGTTCTGGTGAGCAAATCTCTTTCCATGCGGAAATATACTCCTGGTAAGCGTTTGTCTTCGTCTTCATCACGAAGATTGCCTAAATAACATAACATTTTAGAAAAAGAGAGCAGGTGTTTTTGGATTAATTCATACCTATTCTACATTTGCTGAAAAATATTCCAATAAACGAAGGATCGTTTTTCTTGGGCCAATCCCTTACAGGAAAAGTCAAGGGATAGTTGTAGTTGGGTGGCGGGTCACTGAATTCCAAATACCCATTCAAAGACACTCTAGTGTAGTTGAATCTGAAGCCGAAAAACGGCAACTGGAAGTTGAAGTTTTTGTGGACTTGAGGCGACGATGACTGGATTTCTTTTTGGTAATCGCCCTCATTGTCTGCATTACCTCCTTGGTCATAGAAGGGATACATGAATAATTTCCTAATTGTTTGCAATCTGGTTTCTGTTAGGGTGTAGGGAGTACCAGAACCACCCCTTTGATCTGTGTCTGGTGGTGCAACATGGGAAGTCATTGGATCTGGAAAATAATCAACATATAATGTTTGCACATAGATAAAACGATGACTAACCGTAATCAGCTTCATAATAAGTAACGTATTTTCCAAAACGTAATATTTTTTGACCTGTACGCAAACTAGTGTTACCAGGCATCTGCTCTACATCATCTACTGCTACATTATCTACAACAAAACATAAAGCTAGTGTTAGTTGTAATGTTAAAGATGTTTTATGTTAGCTTACAAACAAAAACCCACAAACAATATTATTAATCAGATAAGAGGAACTATAGTTTATCTTAAAAGGCCACACCCGTTTCACAATATTATAAAGTAGTACCTGTATCGTTATTGGTAGGTTGCGTTGGAGTTTGTGGTACATCCTCAGCGGGTACTGGTTGTCCAGAAGATTCTCCCAAGTCTAGAATAATGCCTGGAACGGCTTCAACGTCTGGGTTTGATTCATTTAAATCTTGTCCTAAACTTACACCACAAAAAACTGTCACTAGTAAAATTATTCGTAGTTTCATTTTGGTACTTTTTCGGTTGGTATAGTACCTGTACTGATTCTGTTTTCGCTCGATAATAATTTTGCTTTATCTGGCCCGAGAGATAACGATAATTGTGTTATCTATAGATGTAAGGTGTACTTATGTGTGCGTGACACATATTTTTTGATGAAATTTATTTGTTTTATTTTGTGTACACGATTTTGAAAATCGTCGATGAGTAATTCTTTGTTAGTCAGGAATTTTAGATGTTCATATTTTGATTATTCCCGGCTCTTGAAGCAAGGCTCTATTTAGTCATCTTCAGATAAACTTTGCTGGTCACTATCTGCAACTGATGTTTGTTGTGATGACATGACTTCTCCATGGGTCAGGGAGTTGTTAGGGGCCGGTTCAATGTAAAAATATTAAAAACTCAAAGCGATTGAGTTATTATTACTAGAGTTATGATTTTTTAAAAATAATGATGTTTTGTTATAAGTAAGACTTTACAAATAATTTTTTCACTCAAAAACTAAAGTGAGTGGAAAGTTGAAATTTTGAGGTCTTTTTCCTAAAGGTTCAATGTAGAAAATACTAAAAACTCGAAGCGATTGAGTTATTATTAATAGAATTATGATTTTTTTTAAATAATGGTGTTTTGTTAAGTAAGACTTTACAAATAATTTTTTCACTCAAAAACTAAAGTGAGTGGAAAGTTGAAATTTTGAGGACTTTTTCCTAAAGGTTCAATGTAAAAAATACTAAAAACTCAAACCGATTGAGTTATTATTAATGGAGTTATGATTTTTTTAAAATAATGATATTTTGTAAAGTAAGACTTTACAAATAATTTTTTCACCTAAAAACTAAAGTGAGTGGAAAGTTAAAATTTTGAGGACTTTTTCCTAAAGGTTCAATGTAGAAAATACTAAAAACGCAAAGTGATTGAGTTATTATTAATGGAGTTATGATTTTTTAAAAGTAATGATGTTTTGTAAAGTAAGACTTTACAAATAATTTTTTCACTCAAAAACAAAAGTGAGTGGAAAGTTGAAATTTTGAGGACTTTTTCCTAAAAATTCAATGTAAAAAATTCTAAAAACTCAAAGGGATTGAGTTATTATTAACGGAGTTATGATTTTTTGAAAATAATGATGTTTTGTAAAGTAAGACTCGAGGTAAGACTTTACAAATAATTTTTTCACTCAAAAACCAAAGTGAGTGGAAAGTTGAAATTTTGAGGTCTTTTTCCTAAAGGTTCAATGTAGAAAATACTAAAAACTCGAAGCGATTGAGTTATTAATAATGGAATTATGATTTTTTTTAAATAATGGTGTTTTGTTAAGTAACACTTTACAAATAATTTTTTCACTCAAAAACTAAAGTGAGTGGAAAGTTGAAATTTTGAGGACTTTTTCCTAAAGGTTCAATGTTAAAAATACTAAAAACTCAAAGCGATTGAGTTATTATTAATGGAGTTATGATTTTTTTAAAATAATGATATTTTTTAAAGTAAGACTTTACAAATAATTTTTTCACCTAAAAACTAAAGTGAGTGGAAAGTTAAAATTTTGAGGACTTTTTCCTAAAGGTTCAATGTAGAAAATACTAAAAACGCAAAGTGATTGAGTAATTATTAATGGAGTTATGATTTTTTGAAAATAATGATGTTTTGTAAAGTAAGACTCGAGGCAAGACTTTACAAATAATTTTTTCACTCAAAAACTAAAGTGAGTGGAAAGTTGAAATTTTGAGGACTTGTTCCTAAAGGATCAATGTAAAGAATACTTAAAACTCAAAGCGATTGAGTTATTATTAATGGAGTTATGATTTTTCGTATCTCTTTTTGTTCGAATCCAATATAGGATTCGAATATCGGGATTCCAATACAGGATCGAATACTGGGATTTGAATACAGGATTTAAATACAAAGTGAGTATTTGAATACTGGGATTCAAAAACGGTATTCAGAATCCAGAATACCGAATACTGACCAAAAAAGTATCCAATCGAATACCAAAAACACAAATGTATTCGAATACTAAATATTCCAATACCAGTAAAATGTATTTTGAGAGAAGATATTGAGTATGGGGATATCTGTGCGTTGAGGAGGAATAGAGGTACCTATCTTGGGCCGCTCTGGCGTAGAAAATGTGTGAGCTAACTGGTTTTGAGGCAGGTCTTGCTACAGTTGGGGTAGGGAGTTAAGTTAAATGGATGGCTTGGGTTTTTGAGAAATTTGGGTTGTTGGGACATTTTTTGAAAGTTGCTGGATGATCTGCTTGGCTGTTGAGGCAGTTAGCTGGAGTGTCTGGTGTTTTTTCGCAGTCTATGAAGTGATGATAACCTGCGCATTTATGGCATCGTGGTTCAACAAAACAGGTGGTGGCACTTATGGCTATTTGAAGGGGAAAAAAAAGCAAATGTGTGTAATTTCAAAAATTTTTGCTTGCTCTTGAGGAAGTCAAAATTTTATTAAGTCGGTATCGTTATTCCTGGATTTGTACCATTGGATTTCTGACCGGGGTGAATCCAAGATCCTGTGATTTTCTCTCAACGTCCTGATTTAATCTTTTAATGATTAAATTTAGCTTTTTTTCCTCTTTCAGGAAGAATGTGTTGTACTCTATGGTCGTCTGTAGATTTAGGCAAGATTTGAATGCCTAATGGATGTTTTCTTGGGTCTTCGATATTGATATGATTATTTAGAAGAAGCTGGTGGATTTTTAGCTAGTACTTTGGGTCCTTTATGACGATCGGGGGAGTTCTTGGTTTTTTAGATTGAGGGTGTTATATTTGATGTTTTTGAAGTTTTTGACAAAATTGTTTTGTTGATTATGGAAAGATCTTGATTTGGCTGAATACAGGGTTTTTTAATTGAGGAAATTCCTTGTCAGAATCTGCTTCTACATGCACTTGCACCATGGTTTCTGCTTCCATCATTGTCAAAATTTTCGTCTGAGAGGTGTTTATGGGATTTCCTTCTTTTCGTGGCGGTTGGATGGGAAGGGACAATTGAAAGAACAGGAAATTATGGTTTGTTTTTGAGAGTTTCTAATTTCCTAGCTTGATGTTCATTCATACACAGAGCGATCTCTAGTTTAACTTCCAGATTTTTTACTAACAAAACCAGGTTGTAATTTGTTTCAAGGTATTTATATTGATTGGTTGAAGTATCTAGCTTGGAGCGAAGATTGGCTGATATTGGCTTGGGATTTGAAAGTTTCAATTGTTTAGGCGAGGGTTTGGTTTGCAGAATTTTTTATGGGCAATCAGGGATCTGGTTTTTTCTATGTTTCGGAGTTTATCAAATAGGGTATCGGGGTTATTTGACTTATCCACTTTTGTGTTTTTTGGAAAAAGAGACAAAGTAGAGTAAAGGCATTTTCTACATTTTATTCATATGACTAAATATATCACACAAGGGAAAATATCCAGTACAAGTAGTTACTGTATCACAAAATTGTTGCATTTATTAATATATTAGTTCTAAATTGCAGATAAAGTCTTTCATTGTACAGTCCCAAAGTATGCAGCTTCAGCTTACACTTGAAACAAGATATGTTCAATCTTTTAACAGGTTATAGAATTCGATTATAGTACCTTAGTCCTTCTGATAAGATGCTGCATTGGCCAGTTGTAGTGTTCATTGCCCACGATCTTAAGTTTTCATTGAATCTGGTATTGTGTTGTCTAGGATGAAACTTATTGTAGAGTGAATATTGAAAGTCTTGCAAGAATGGATAAAGATGCATGATTGCAAGATATACAGAGAGTGAATGGTCAGGATGCCATTCGGATAATGTAAGTCTTTTGTTGAAAACAGAAATGGCAGCTTAAACAATTTTGAAGAACTGACAAGGGGTGCAGTTTGTTTAGGGAAGCATTGCCCCATAGCAGAATTAGATATGATATGTGAGAATGGATGAGGGAATTGTACCTATATTATCTTACGATGCGTATATGTATATTCAAGATGTGCATATCCCAAGTAAGTTTTGAATCAACAAAGAGTCCCAGGTATTTGATGCAGTCTGCACAAGTCAATGGGAGACTCTAAAAGTTCATTGTAAAGATTTTAACTAAGTTTGTGGTAACAGAGCTAATCACTCATTTTCTATAAGTCTTCTTCAATGATGATTTTTAAGTTAGCAGCGTCCTTGTCAAAATAAGTGATGCAAGTATCATCTGCATATAAATTGACAGAGCCCTGAAGAGATATATGACAGTCAGTTCACTCCGTGTACAATGTTTTCCATTTTACTTCTGTTACCTTCACATTCAACATACTTTAGTCTGCCCGACATTAATCCCTAAACCACAGTAGTGCTGAACCTCCAATACCAGTTTTTTCAAGCACCTTCACGAGAATTTTGTGATTCACTATGTGTCAAAAGCTTTTCTTAAGTCCGGCGAGACAAGTACACACTTATATATCTCTTATCAACCTTTTCATAAATATTTGTAATTGGGTCTGTAGTTGCTGAGGAGGTATTGTTGTGTTTTCTGAATCCATATTGGCCCGCATAGCAAAAATTTATTCCATCCGAATAACTGGTTAATCTTATACAGGTTTCCAATACCTGGACATAACTGGAAGCAGGGAAATGAGCCTGTAGTTGTTTAGTTCTGTGCTATCACCACCCTTAAATAAACGGACAACCTTGGCCATTTTAAACAAACTTGGTACAAATGCAGTTTAAAAAACAAGATTTATCAACTTACATAAAGTAGGCGATATTTCATTTTTCAATTCCTTGATTGTATATCAATGCCCAAGCTGTCAGTTCCAGGTGATTTTCCTGGTTTTAATTTGTTTATAACTGCAGTAACTTCCTCTGTAGTCACAGGTTCCCATTGATTTATATAGGCAGTAGAAGTTGTTGGTTGGAGTTGAGGGGAAAAAATTGTTGGAAGGATGTTTTTTGCTAGTTCTCCAGCAATTCCGGAAAAGTATTAGTTTAGCAAGTTGGCAACATCCTGTGGGTTCTGCACTTGAATAACTTGTCGCATGTTACTAGTTTGGTAAAGTAACATTACTAATTCCTGTTGAAAGACAAATTGACAAAAAGTGAATAATCTTTCAAATTCTGACTTTATATAATAAGTTATTGTTTAAGTGGATTATTGCGGAATTTATGGGTGGACCTCTGCGGGACGAGCGCAGCGAGTTCCGCAGCCATCCATTTATCAATATGTAGTTTTATTTAAATGTGTGTTATTCTCATTAGTTTAAAAACTACATGTTTCAGGTGAATGTCTAATTTGAACAATTCAACAGCGTATTGGTAAGTAGATGGCTGCGGAACTCGCTGCGCTCGTCCCGCAGAGGTCCACACATAAGTTCCGCAACAATCCACTTATTTGTATTTGAAAAATAACCTATTATATAAAATCAGAATTTGTAAGATTATCTAGTTTTTGTCAATTCGCCTTTCAACAGGAATTAGTAATGTTACTTTACCAAATTAGTAATATATTCTAACAAGTTATTCAAGTACAAATGAGTGGATTGTTGCGGAACTTATGGATGGACCCAGCCGTCTATTCACCAATATCTTGTTCAAGTACAATACTAATCTGATTCACTCAGTTATAAATTTTTCTCATTAGTTCAAAAACTACACGTTTCAGGTGTGTGTTTGAATAACTTGTCAGAATATATTACTAATTTGGTAAAGTAACATTACTAATTTCTGTTAATAGGCAAATTGATAATTTTACAAATTCTGACTTTATATAATAAGTTATTGTTCAAGTACAAATAAGTGAATTGTTGCGGCACTTATAGGTGGACCTCTGCGGGACGAGCGCAGCGAGTTCCGCAGCCATCTACTCACCAATATACTGTTGAACTGTTCAAGTAAGGCATTCACCTGAAACATGTAGTTTTTAAACTAATGAGAAATACTCACATTTGAGTGAGTCAGGTTAGTATCATAATTAAACAACATATTAATGAACAGATGGCTGCGGAACTCGCTGCGCTCGTCCCGCAGAGGTCCACCCATAAGTTCCTCAACAATTCACTCATTTGTACTTGAATAACTTGTCACATTATGTTACTAGTTTGATAAAGTAACATCACTAATTCCTGTCAAAAGGCAAATTGACAAAAATGAATAATCTTACAAATTCTGACTTTATATAATAAGTTATTGTTCAAGTACAAATAAGTGGATTGTTGCGGCACTTATAGGTGGACCTCTGCGGGACGAGCGCAGCGAGTTCCGCAGCCATCTACTCACCAATATACTGTTAAACTGTTCAAGTAAGACATTCACTTGGAACATGTAGTTTTTAAACTAATGAGAATTACTCACATTTGAGTGAGTCAGGTTAATATCATAATTAAACAACATATTGATGAATAGATGGCTGCGGAACTCGCTGCGCTCGTCCCGCAGAGGTCCACCCATAAGTTCCTCAACAATTCACTCATTTGTACTTGAATAACTTGTCACATTATTTTAGTAGTTTGGTAAAGTTACATTACTAATTCCTGTTAAAAGACAAATTGACGAAAAGTGAATAATCTTACAAATTCTGACTTTATATAATAAAATATTGTTTAAGCACATGGTGTATATTGACGCCCTACCTACAGCCTTCACCTTTACAAGTAGATAAAAGGTATAAATACAAAAATTGTACAGTATTGGCTAAATTTTTAGAATCCACGGTCAGAAACAAAAATTGAATGTCAGAAATGTGAAATATTGCATATTTTCAGCTTTTTTCAAATGGGATGCCCTATATTTCAAAACAATATAGTTTGTCTATATTTGGTTGAGCCGGCTCCAACATATTTGGTTCTAAAAATTTTAAAAATCTTATCAGTAGTAATAGCCCAAGGACATTGATAATTGACTGAAAAACTGTTATAACAGATTTCACAAGCTTGTTGCTTAAAAACAGACCGACGCGCTACCTTTACTTTTGGACATCCGATTGTGAATAGATAATACCTATAATTTGCAGTAGGTACTGTTCGTGCCCGAGACTAGGATGGAAATGGAACCATATGAAAATATACAAAACTTATTCAAAAAATGTTTCGTCATTAACTAACTGTGTTAAGATGTCATAAGATTACATATTGCATTAGCTACCTGACAGTTTATCAAAAGATGAATAAACGGGCCATTACTAATAATAGTAAATAATTACTTATCAACAAACTTAAATAAACAATAAGATAATCCTGGGACAGGTTAATGATAAATATTTCAAAAGTAAACACACATCAACGGCTCTGATAACAACACTATTTTATTATGACGAAATTACATACAAATCATGCAGTTATATGATTACAAGTCCACTTGTCTCCTTCTTGACTTTTGAATAAAACCCTGTCTGCAATTTCATTGGTTTGACTGTAGTAAAAATCAAACATCTTTGGAATAATCTTGAAAACAACCCTATAAAATAAAACCAATAATGACTTATAGGTATAGATAAAAACCAACTCAGAAGAAGCCACCGCGTGATGACGTCAGATTTTTCTCAGTTGATTTTAACTATACCTATACATACTTACAAATTATCAGGTACAGAATCAAATTTAATAATTCCTTTGTCGATTTCCTCCACAAGTCCATCATGTCTGAACTTCAAATCGTCCCAGTCTACCTCTTGACTTTGCTCAGTGATCAGAGCAGATCTCATCTGAGCAACAAAAGGCAAACATTCATATTGCTGCTGAGTCATTTGTAGTTTCTGAGCTTCTCCTTCAATACGCACCTGAATCAAGTTTATAATAAAAATTCCTTATATCATAACATACTTGTTTGCAAAAAGTCTTGTTGACAAACAGGAAACTTGCAGCCACATTGGGGTTTTCTTTCTACAATCAATTAGTATTATTAATTGTCTGACCCAAATATTGTCTATTCACAATCTGTAGTCCAAAGTTACAGGTAAAATTCATCACATTTTAATGCTATTGGATAGGGAAAAGTGATAAATTTACCTGTACCTTTAGACTACAGATTGTGGATAGCATATAGAACTCACTATATGAATTGCTTTTGGGCTGGTTGGATTTGTGTTGAACAAAATACCATCTTGACATAATTCTTGCATTATTATAAAGCGGTTTTTAACTTGTCCAAGTCTGAAATAATAAAATCGAATTTCTTGACAACAGGGCAACAATACTTACTTGGAAGCTGTTGCCAAATTGAAACCTACACTGGCCTCATTTGTATGACTTTTGTAGTCGTCTATCCAATTTTTCAGCAAGTCAAAGGGGCCCCAATTTTTAGGAAATTCTATTTTGGATAGTTTTGATGTTGTCATTATGCAGTCAGCTGTTGTGGTTTTTTTGAGTACTGGTAGCTTCCATATAATGTCGATAGATGGCGCGAGATGTAATAGTACTACTTGATTTAAGTCTCCTTTTATATTTTATTGTAAGGACATTCTAGAAGAATTATTGATGCATTGAAGAATCAATTAGTGATTATTCTCGGCTCTTGAGTCGGTGATAATTTTCCATAGATTTCGGCTTCAAATCTGAGAATAAGTTTGTGTATGGAGTTCAGAGTATCACGAGGGACCAGTAGGACACAAAATCTCGACAAAAAAAAAATTGAAATTTCATCATTTTAGTAAGAAGGTAGCTACCTTATGATTTTAGATTTTGGAAAACTTTGGAAGGGCATAACTTTTTTCTATTATAGATAGAAAGCTGAATCTTTCACTGAATTTTATCCCTTTCAAAGGACTACAATCCCTGAAAATTTCAGCTCATTTGCACTTATGGTTCCTGAGATAAAATCGTGATAAGCAATTGGGGGTGATTTATCAATTTTTCAATTTTTCTGAGTGCCTTTTTTCATAGATTTCGGCTTCAAATCTGAGAATAATTTTGTGAATGGAGTTCAGGGTATCACGAGGGACCAGTAGGACCCAAAATCTCGACAAAAAAAAATTGAAATTTCATCATTTTAGTAAGAAGGTACCCCCCTTATGATTTTTTCGGAAAACTTTCAAATATTGTAACTTTTTTTCTATTATAGATAGAAAGCTGAATCTTTCACTGAATTTTATCCCTTTCAAAGGACTACAATCCCTGAAAATTTCAGCTCATTTGCACTTATGGTTCCTGAGATAAAATCGTGATAAGCAATTGGGGGTGATTTATCAATTTTTCAATTTTTCTGAGTGCCTTTTTTCATAGATTTCGGCTTCAAATCTGAGAATAATTTTGTGAATGGAGTTCAGGGTATCACGAGGGACCAGTAGGACCCAAAATCTCGACAAAAAAAAAATTGAAATTTCATCATTTTAGTAAGAAGGTACCCCCCTTATGATTTTTTCGGAAAACTTTCAAATATTGTAACTTTTTTTCTATTATAGATAGAAAGCTGAATCTTTCACTGAATTTTATCCCTTTCAAAGGACTACAATCCCTGAAAATTTCAGCTCATTTGCACTTATGGTTCCTGAGATAAAATCGTGATAAGCAATTGGGGGTGATTTATCAATTTTTCAATTTTTCTGAGTGCCTTTTTTCATAGATTTCGGCTTCAAATCTGAGAATAATTTTGTGAATGGAGTTCAGGGTATCACGAGGGACCAGTAGGACCCAAAATCTCGACAAAAAAAAAATTGAAATTTCATCATTTTAGTAAGAAGGTACCCCCCTTATGATTTTTTCGGAAAACTTTCAAATATTGTAACTTTTTTTCTATTATAGATAGAAAGCTGAATCTTTCACTGAATTTTATCCCTTTCAAAGGACTACAATCCCTGAAAATTTCAGCTCATTTGCACTTATGGTTCCTGAGATAAAATCGTGATAAGCAATTGGGGGTGATTTATCAATTTTTCAATTTTTCTGAGTGCCTTTTTTCATAGATTTCGGCTTCAAATCTGAGAATAATTTTGTGAATGGAGTTCAGGGTATCACGAGGGACCAGTAGGACCCAAAATCTCGACAAAAAAAAATTGAAATTTCATCATTTTAGTAAGAAGGTACCCCCCTTATGATTTTTTCGGAAAACTTTCAAATATTGTAACTTTTTTTCTATTATAGATAGAAAGCTGAATCTTTCACTGAATTTTATCCCTTTCAAAGGACTACAATCCCTGAAAATTTCAGCTCATTTGCACTTATGGTTCCTGAGATAAAATCGTGATAAGCAATTGGGGGTGATTTATCAATTTTTCAATTTTTCTGAGTGCCTTTTTTCATAGATTTCGGCTTCAAATCTGAGAATAATTTTGTGAATGGAGTTCAGGGTATCACGAGGGACCAGTAGGACCCAAAATCTCGACAAAAAAAAAATTGAAATTTCATCATTTTAGTAAGAAGGTACCCCCCTTATGATTTTTTCGGAAAACTTTCAAATATTGTAACTTTTTTTCTATTATAGATAGAAAGCTGAATCTTTCACTGAATTTTATCCCTTTCAAAGGACTACAATCCCTGAAAATTTCAGCTCATTTGCACTTATGGTTCCTGAGATAAAATCGTGATAAGCAATTGGGGGTGATTTATCAATTTTTCAATTTTTCTGAGTGCCTTTTTTCATAGATTTCGGCTTCAAATCTGAGAATAATTTTGTGAATGGAGTTCAGGGTATCACGAGGGACCAGTAGGACCCAAAATCTCGACAAAAAAAAAATTGAAATTTCATCATTTTAGTAAGAAGGTACCCCCCTTATGATTTTTTCGGAAAACTTTCAAATATTGTAACTTTTTTTCTATTATAGATAGAAAGCTGAATCTTTCACTGAATTTTATCCCTTTCAAAGGACTACAATCCCTGAAAATTTCAGCTCATTTGCACTTATGGTTCCTGAGATAAAATCGTGATAAGCAATTGGGGGTGATTTATCAATTTTTCAATTTTTCTGAGTGCCTTTTTTCATAGATTTCGGCTTCAAATCTGAGAATAATTTTGTGAATGGAGTTCAGGGTATCACGAGGGACCAGTAGGACCCAAAATCTCGACAAAAAAAAAATTGAAATTTCATCATTTTAGTAAGAAGGTACCCCCCTTATGATTTTTTCGGCAAACTTTCAAAGGTTGTAACTTTTTTTCTATTATAGATAGAAAGCTGAATCTTTCACTGAATTTTATCCCTTTCAAAGGACTACAATCCCTGAAAATTTCAGCTCATTTGCACTTATGGTTCCTGAGATAAAATCGTGATAAGCAATTGGGGGTGATTTATCAATTTTTCAATTTTTCTGAGTGCCTTTTTTCATAGATTTCGGCTTCAAATCTGAGAATAATTTTGTGAATGGAGTTCAGGGTATCACGAGGGACCAGTAGGACCCAAAATCTCGACAAAAAAAAAATTGAAATTTCATCATTTTAGTAAGAAGGTAGCTACCTTATGATTTTAGATTTTGGAAAACTTTGGAAGGGCATAACTTTTTTTCTATTATAGATAGAAAGCTGAATCTTTCACTGAATTTTATCCCTTTCAAAGGACTACAATCCCTGAAAATTTCAGCTCATTTGCACTTATGGTTCCTGAGATAAAATCGTGATAAGCAATTGGGGGTGATTTATCAATTTTTCAATTTTTCTGAGTGCCTTTTTTCATAGATTTCGGCTTCAAATCTGAGAATAATTTTGTGAATGGAGTTCAGGGTATCACGAGGGACCAGTAGGACCCAAAATCTCGACAAAAAAAAAATTGAAATTTCATCATTTTAGTAAGAAGGTACCCCCCTTATGATTTTTTCGGAAAACTTTCAAATATTGTAACTTTTTTTCTATTATAGATAGAAAGCTGAATCTTTCACTGAATTTTATCCCTTTCAAAGGACTACAATCCCTGAAAATTTCAGCTCATTTGCACTTATGGTTCCTGAGATAAAATCGTGATAAGCAATTGGGGGTGATTTATCAATTTTTCAATTTTTCTGAGTGCCTTTTTTCATAGATTTCGGCTTCAAATCTGAGAATAATTTTGTGAATGGAGTTCAGGGTATCACGAGGGACCAGTAGGACCCAAAATCTCGACAAAAAAAAAATTGAAATTTCATCATTTTAGTAAGAAGGTACCCCCCTTATGATTTTTTCGGAAAACTTTCAAATATTGTAACTTTTTTTCTATTATAGATAGAAAGCTGAATCTTTCACTGAATTTTATCCCTTTCAAAGGACTACAATCCCTGAAAATTTCAGCTCATTTGCACTTATGGTTCCTGAGATAAAATCGTGATAAGCAATTGGGGGTGATTTATCAATTTTTCAATTTTTCTGAGTGCCTTTTTTCATAGATTTCGGCTTCAAATCTGAGAATAATTTTGTGAATGGAGTTCAGGGTATCACGAGGGACCAGTAGGACCCAAAATCTCGACAAAAAAAAATTGAAATTTCATCATTTTAGTAAGAAGGTACCCCCCCTTATGATTTTTTCGGAAAACTTTCAAATATTGTAACTTTTTTTCTATTATAGATAGAAAGCTGAATCTTTCACTGAATTTTATCCCTTTCAAAGGACTACAATCCCTGAAAATTTCAGCTCATTTGCACTTATGGTTCCTGAGATAAAATCGTGATAAGCAATTGGGGGTGATTTATCAATTTTTCAATTTTTCTGAGTGCCTTTTTTCATAGATTTCGGCTTCAAATCTGAGAATAATTTTGTGAATGGAGTTCAGGGTATCACGAGGGACCAGTAGGACCCAAAATCTCGACAAAAAAAAAATTGAAATTTCATCATTTTAGTAAGAAGGTACCCCCCTTATGATTTTTTCGGAAAACTTTCAAATATTGTAACTTTTTTTCTATTATAGATAGAAAGCTGAATCTTTCACTGAATTTTATCCCTTTCAAAGGACTACAATCCCTGAAAATTTCAGCTCATTTGCACTTATGGTTCCTGAGATAAAATCGTGATAAGCAATTGGGGGTGATTTATCAATTTTTCAATTTTTCTGAGTGCCTTTTTTCATAGATTTCGGCTTCAAATCTGAGAATAATTTTGTGAATGGAGTTCAGGGTATCACGAGGGACCAGTAGGACCCAAAATCTCGACAAAAAAAAATTGAAATTTCATCATTTTAGTAAGAAGGTACCCCCCTTATGATTTTTTCGGAAAACTTTCAAATATTGTAACTTTTTTTCTATTATAGATAGAAAGCTGAATCTTTCACTGAATTTTATCCCTTTCAAAGGACTACAATCCCTGAAAATTTCAGCTCATTTGCACTTATGGTTCCTGAGATAAAATCGTGATAAGCAATTGGGGGTGATTTATCAATTTTTCAATTTTTCTGAGTGCCTTTTTTCATAGATTTCGGCTTCAAATCTGAGAATAATTTTGTGAATGGAGTTCAGGGTATCACGAGGGACCAGTAGGACCCAAAATCTCGACAAAAAAAAA